GGAAAAAGACCTTGTTGATCTTGGATGAAGTTATAACCACCACTTGATGACTTTAGTGAGGCATTGTATGGTGTACTAGGTCTGTACATGTGTTTCTGTGTGAAAAAACAACACCTGAGCTAAACAGAAGAGAACAGGGCTAAACCGAGTCTCCTCCTAACGGTCTTTCTTCAGGTGTATTTTATAGAGCACTTTTGAAAGGACTTTTTGTGTAAGCACCTTGGAAACCCTTTTCAAAGCCGCTGTGCAGAAGTGCCAGAGCCTGTGGGCCACCTTCCTGCTCAGAGCTTGCATCTTGTAGCTCACATCTTTCCAGTTCAGACTTCGGTCTGTCAGATCAGGTGTTCCAGACCCTGCAAGAGTCGTTTGCCTTGGTGGGAGGCAGAGGAGCTTGAAATAAAGGAGCATTTCTACAGAAAAGTGTTCTCTCTTTATCCCAGTCCCTGTTTGTTCAACTGTTACCACACACTGCTGCACCCTCAACTTTGCTTCGTGCCTCCTGCTTGCTCTGCTCTCCAGAGGCATTTATCCCTTCTCCTAGAGTCAGATTTGTGTTCTGACTCATTCACTATTGTGTTTGTGGTTTATTTTATGGGGCGAAGCAACTGGGATAACCTTGTGAAGATCAAAACAGAGTACTTTTAAGTGACACATGGTTGCAGTATTAATTTTCAAATACATTTAGGAATAATATTGACATTCATTTGTTCTTTACAGGAGCGTGCTTGTTTTGAAAGATAGACAAGCAAAAACTTTTCATGATAACATACTTCATCTATGAAATAACTTGTTCATTTTCAGAAATTTTGTTTTAAAAGAGCTACTCTAAACTGCCAGGATTCATGAAGCTGTTCCCCAAAGACATCAGTCTAATCCAGATCCCACGAGAGCCTGTGAACATCTTTTTGTTTTGCTGACTTGGTTTCCAGTAAAGGACTGAGTTTTGAAACATGGTGACACCTCTTGGTCATGCTGACCTGCATCTGCAGGATCTCCTTGCTCCTCAGGACCTCTCTTTTTGTGGTTCAACTGTAGTCTGCCGGAATAACTTTGACTTTCTTAGCAAGAGTTGTTACTGCAAAGCCTGTCAAAATTTCCACTCACTTTCAGAGCTAGACAATTTAGTGAATTGGTGCAATATGAACAGCGTTGCCCAAAATGTTTACAGTGAACAAAGCCATAGCACTATGTTTTTGGCAAACAGCTGTATTCTGAATACTTGCAGGGCCTTTTCAATAACCGCTGCGTCCTTTCCCAGTAGCTCTCTTAGGGGCTGTTGCGCAGGCTGATGGGGAGGCTGCTTTGCGCAGAATTGAGATTTGCCACCGGCCAGGGCAGCCTGCTCCATCCATAGTGCCTGAAGGAACTGGCTAGGAGCTGGTAGTTATTTCTTACCATTCAAGTTACTTCATACCTTTCTTTTAACATTTCAACCAGAAATGAGTTATTTCTTAACCACTGTGCAAGGCAGCACCTCTGAAATCTTGCCAAGTTTGGGATTTACCACCCCACCACACACACACAATACCTTTCACCCCACTCCGAATGCCAGAACGAACACAATCCCTGTGTTTGAACATAAGGCATCCAGGCTCAGGTTGAGGGAAAGCCATGCAGCACACTGATCACATGCAGCAAGCTGATCTTCTGCTGCAGTTTTTGTTTAAAACCTGATTATTTGTGCAGGCTGGATTCTGAAACATTTGGTTTGGAGCTGGACAAGCAGAACAGACAAACTGGATGATTGCCCGGTGTGCTACAGCAAAGGCAGAGAAAGAAGGAGTCTCTGGTATCATTCAAGTGCTGGACTGTTTTTTTCAGTAGGTATTTTTTCAGTTCACAGCAGGCCATTGACACCAGAAAGTGCTGCAATGGCAACCTCGGTGGTGAAACTGCCGATGTTACAATCGGAGGGAGATAAAGTGAAGTATTTGTTGGAGTGGCAGTACCAGGAAACGGCTGAGACATCATGTGATGTGACGGAGGATGTGCACTCTGTAGCAGAGGGACGTATTTACTTACAGGCTAGACTTCCACCAGACTCCACCAAAGGCAGTTTTGGCTAGTTATTTGAATTACTTGACCCACTTGCAGTAGGAAGTCATTATATAGATAGTAAATACCTACCCCACCCTTGGTAGGCAGACGGACTCTGCCAAAAAGGTCTAGCTCAGCTTCACAGAATATCAAATATTGTACCTTTCTAGTTAAAACTGTCATTGCAAAGACATTAGAAGCTGCTGCTGTTCCAGTAAACTGCTCCACTTCTTGGCATTTGATCGTTGTGGAGAAAGCCCCTAGGATTTACCTCTTACCACCACCTGGAACACAAACCATACGCAAAGAGCAAGTCTGAAATTGGTCTTAAGGTGCAAATCACTTGGTTCTCCCACTGATGAGAAAAGCTCCCAGGCCCTCTGGCAGTCAGGAAGTTGCCTGTGACGGAGGATTCCGATAGCAGCTTTACAAAACCATTCATTTGAAGTGTTAAATAGAGACTCCAAGTTAGTTCTTCTTCGACTTTTTTTTCTTGTTATGAAATCTGCAGCTACCTTAGCACACGTAACATGCTTGGTGATTAATTATTGTTAATTAATGGATGGCTTTAAAATTTTAGGCAAAGTGCTTGAAACATTATCTACAAGTTATCATCTTTTAAAAGACTCATGTGGCTATTATGATAATTTGTAAGTGTAAATTCTTTTCCCCATAAATAGATGAGATTTCACTAAAATCTGTGGCCTGCACCAATGTTGACCTTTAACATAACCCTGCAATTTATCACCAAAATAAGATTCTGATCTTGCTTACATCAGAATATAGCTAGAGAAAGTCCATGAGAAGACAGCAGGTTCATGCTAAGGCAGCTAAGAACAGATCTAGTCCAAAACAGATTTTAGAGTAAGAGGGCTTCTTTCAAATTAAAATGATGATGGCCTTTGCTTGGACTGTAGGAATAGGTGATGATAGAAAAGGAATAAAAGAGAACTGTCATGTCTTCTACTGCACATATATATCAGTTTAATTTTGCTTGTATTTCGTGAGACTTATGTGAGTCTTATATTATGTGAGACTTCAGATACTGATACTTAAGATACCGGGATGGGTTGGAGCAGTTCATTTAGCAGAAACTGAAGTGAAAATCTGATTTCCTTGAAAGGTCACTTCTCAGATTTCAGGGGGTAATTTTTCATTTGGTAAAACCAGGGGACGATCTTGCATGTCCTCTGCAAAACCAGTGACTATTCGCTGAAGTCGACCTGATCTATCTGTATGCATGGGGCTCATGTATTACTGCTGACTTCTCTGCACACCACATGCTTGCTGCCTGGGTTGGATAGGCTTAGGACAGACCACATATAAGTTAAAAAGGATTTATGCTCCTGTTCTCCTGGATCATTAGTCACGTATGTACGGTGTTAAGGACAATGTGGAGCATTGGGCTCAACAGGGGATTTTAATGCACTAAGGCAAAGATCCATAAAGGACATAGGCACCCAGCTCTGAGACTGGGATTCAGAAGCCTTAATTAGGATGGTACTTTGCCTGCACAGGGAGTTAGGAGAATTCAGTGTCTCGTAATGGGATTCACATGTACCAGTACTCTGAGTGGGGGGATTGAGTTAGCAAGCTGGAAAAATGCTGAAGAAAAGGATAAATTTCTGCACTTCAGTTGGTACCTAAGCCCTTTTCTTGGATCTGACCCTGAATGCTAAAGTCTTAGTAATACATACCAGTCAGCCTTTGTTTACAATTGCACTGAGTTTCCTTAGGGAAATAAATAAAATTAAACTTTTTTTCATTTGACCCTGTTATTAAAGTAGAAAGCACTGGAGGCCCAATGCTATACTGGAGCCACATTTCTCTTGTTTCTATTCTGTTTATGAACGGCCTTCATCAACTAATCACTGTTTGGCACAGTATTAAATCTAATCACTGAACTCCAAAACGTTGTAATGTGTCTACCTACTCCATGGTTCCATTTGGATGGAAATTTTCTATCTCGTTTAAAGACTATTAAAGCCCTGCCTTTCTTGTTCAGAACAAAAGGGTATTGTTTACTTTGTTTTTCGTTATTTTCGTATTCAACAAAAGATGATTATTCTTTCTCCTCAGTGCTGAGATCCCTGTGAGCATGTAGACCTCCTCTCTACTTGCTTTTCTTCCCCCTGGGTGACTACAAAATAGCAAAATTTCCTTCACACAGAAGCTTACGGTTGAAATGCACAAAAGCAAATGTTATTTATCCAAACTTTCAAGGTTTTCCTAATGAAGGTATTTATTAAAAAGTTGATGTGAGGCATAACTGAATAAAGAAACAATGTTACAAGGCACAGCAGAAGTGGCAATAAGATGAACACACATTTATGATTAAGAATTAATCTTTCATTAAATAAAAACTTGTTTCAGTCAAAACCTTTTGACCTTTTAAGAGAGAGGCAGCAAACCCACAAGCATGTAGTTGTTTGTTTGGATCCTATTATTGCCATCCCATTGTAATGTAGGGAGAACAGTTTTTTGATCCTACAGCTAGGCAGCCTGTGGGCAGGAGAGCAGGGTTCTTGCTTTTTGAGAGCTAGCAGCCCATTCACAGTGGGTTGACTTTCAAAAGACCCATTTATTGAATGACGCAAGGTGCAAATTATGACTCACTCTGCATAGGTTAAGTTTGTAAAAATCAACCTATATTCGTCTTCCTAGCACCTACACAGCTGCATAATGTATTTATTATCTCTAGGGTCCCATTAACCCTTTTGGAGGCTTAAAAGTGATCTGCAATACAGCCCAGACAAACTGATGTTCTTATCTAGTGAATTGAAGTTTTTCTCTTTTATCAGTGGTGATCTAGTGAATGGCAGATTTTCTTCTCTCTGGCCAGTATTAGGTCACAGAGTGGCCCAGCAGTCTGGGTTTGAACATTTCCTCCTGTTCTAACAGCCCTCATAAAAAACGCCAGTTGATTGCTGGTGTTTGCTGATATGTGACACTGTGTTTTCCAGGTCTCAACCAGATGAACCAGGTGCTCTTCGATCTCTGAGCCTTCTAATGATCTTGCAATGATACTGTAAGTAATCGTTGTTTATTATAAACAGCTTTTTAAGCAGAAGTTTGATGCAAGTCCAGCGCATTTTATTTGTTGAAACATATCCTTGTATTTCCCACTTGTATCACAACCTACTTTTCCTGGTAGATTAAGGGTATGGGAGAAGTTTTGCTGTGTTTGCAAGGCCTTTAAATGGACAGAACCACCTCTTCACCTTCTCCACCCATCTCCTTCCCTGTCTCCCCTCCTTTCAAAGGGAGAACATCAGGAAGTTTGGAGATTCAGATGTAGCTCCTAAACCTGTGTCAATGAGTAAGGTCTACTACGCTGCTGGAAATGGTGTGCAGCCACTTGTTCCTGTATTTCAGCTCTCCTTCCTCTCAGGAAACCCAGACTTCAAGGGAAGGAAAACCCCAAATGACCCTTGTACATGTCATTGCAAAAATGGTGGTTGCTTAAGAAAAGGGTGTTACCTTACGTGCATGGCTTCATTTCTCCACCTGTTCCTGTGTTGCACATGTTACAAATGATGACAGCTATTAGAGGACTGGCTGTATGGCATGCACACTCAGAAATGAAGTGTGTCTTTCTTAGACCCCTTATCTGTAGTCCTAACTCAGCAGAATTTTCTTTGTCTGGTAACATGGCCAGACTAGAGGAGGGACTGTACCTTCCCTTACTACTGTGGGTGAATAAATACTGCAAAAAGCCTTTCTCCAATGTTGAATCAAACATGGAAATTAATTTACTTTCTCTCTGTTCATAAATACTATGTGTCAGCTTTCTGCAAGCCACAGTATGCTAACCTACTTGCAGAGATTCCTACAGAAAGGAAATGGCAAAATTGCATGTAAGATTATTTACAGTAAACTAATGTGAAAAATGAACATTGGCCAGATACTTGTCTGTGTCTTTACTCAGGGAACACGTATTACCCTGTGACTTTAATGATCGATCACATCTAAACATAAAATCTGAATTTCAGAACACATGTAAGGAGCGGATTGGAATTGAGTATAAAGATATATATGCTGTTGTTTTTAAGCCCATAATAAAACTTATTGAATACTGATGAATAATGGATGCATTTAAAGGAGATTACGATCTGCTCCTGTTTAATCCTTCAAAGAAAAAAGCAAATTCGCTTATGAATTCTCTGTAATGGTTTATTCTTTAACACAGAACAATGGAGGCTTGGTACAAAACTCACTGGAATCAATAAAAAGACCCCCATTTTATGCCCCAGGTTTGTAGCCTACACAGAAGTCTGTTATGGCAGCTGCCACCTTTACTAACAAACCAGGGTTAGGGCCAGGTTCCTCTAGGGCTACAGTGGTAATGGCTCTTAAGTCTGGCCGAAACAGTCTGATATTCCCTGTGGATCAGACACAGAGGTGGACCTGTAACACGCACTCACCTGTGCGTTACGTCAGTAAGTCTAGTATGTGTTGTTCCAGTTGTAGCTCTTGTAAATTAAACAGAGAAATAAGCTGCTTTTTCGCTTCATGCCACTGCTGAAATATGATCCAAGGCTCAGGTAGATTCCAGCTGTGATCTTGCTCCTTGGTTATGAACATACATTTATGTTCTCAAGACATTAGAGCTCCTTCTACACAGGCAAAAATTGTAAAAACAAAATGAACAACGTTCTCTGTGTACAGTAGAGTTATTTAAAGTGCCTGAGGGTTTGAACATAAGCAGACACTGTGTTCGCATACAATATAAGCAAGACTTCTGGGTTTTGGCATTTAAAATGACAATTAAAAATACAGCAGGCATGTTTCAGCAACTTTATAGGATGCCATAAACATCCAGAAAAGGATTCCAGACAAAAGTAAAGATTCACAGTAAGGATTGTTTTCTTCTTTTTGTGTCCTACCCCAGTTTTTAGTGTGAAGTGTTGTTATAAACCACAAAACTAATGAAACAAAAGTAAAGGGCAGAAGGTACCTCGCTCATTGCAAGCTATTGTATGACAGAAAATGCTTCTTTGGGAAAGTCAAAGTTTACAGTCTGTATGGCTCTGTTCACGTAATTGTTTTAGCTTCCTGCTCAAGATTTTTCTAAAAAATCTTGCGGAGAAAAAGCCCTAAACAAGTCTGGAAGGTGGAAAACACTTTCCTTCCTCAACACAGAAACAGCCACAATAGACTTAAAATCTCTCCCTGACACGATCTTGTGTACCATGACACTACCTGAATTTTCTTAGATATATTTACCATAGGAATGACACTACTGCATTCCCACTGTAGCCTGCTGACAACATGCCATGGCTTATGAAATTGTATATTGTATCGTACCTTTAAGCAACACAGTGTTTACAAATATATAAGGCACCTCTTGTTGTGAATGTGTTTTAGGCATTAAACTAAGGTGAGAAGAATAACCTGAATCTCAAGTTAAGGATTTAATTACAAGGCCTTTCTTCCTCAAAACTTTTTTTTCCTGCCACTTGTAAACCTTTGACAAAAACAGTTCCTCGGCTTCTTTGATTTTTTGTACCTGCATTTCTCATTAATCAACTCCTAAATCTCCAAAATGCTTTGAAATGTTGTTATGACATTGAGTGGAATTTCACCTAGGATGGTCAACTCTTTCCTAGGCTTAAGATGGGAGACAAATTACAGTTTGTTTTTTGATGATAGTTCTGAAATCCATCTCTTCTCTTTATGACACTTTAGCAATGTGTTTTGTTCTGTGCGTGTGTTGAAACCACATAGCCATCAACTGACCAGCCTAATGATACTCAGCCAAAACACCCCGCTCCCAGCTTTCCTGGTTTCTCTAAGTCCCTTCTTCACCAGAGGAGTCATGCACGGCTCCTATTTTTTTTTCCACCTCTCATTTTTTCATTCTGATAAAAATGTAGTCTTGTATAGTTTTGAGGGTATTCACGGGGAATTTACCTTCTTCCTCCATGCAGGGGCCAAGGAACAGTTAGCCTCTTCTTTCTTGTCACTGGACACCAGCATTGGGATTGTTTTTCAGGAGTCAGGGCTAAGTGAGAATTAGGTTCCTGCCGCCCCTGAGTTAAGCAACACTCCACATTAGTGATCCAGTGTCTCAATCAGGGCAGGAAGAAGTAAGGAAACTGTTTGCTTTATCCTCCTCACTGCACAAACCAATCCACAGGGACTGGGAACGAGACATCTGCCAGAAAAGAGGGAGACAGAAGTTATCTGGAGGTTACATTTGTTTCCTGTGGCTGTGCATTTGCTTTAGTTCAGTTTTCCTTTCCCCTCCCCCTTACCACTATTCAAGACTATGTAGAAGCTCCTTTCTCCCCTTTACCTGTGTTTATTTCCTTTAATTAGGCGATAATTTTGCAATCTGAGGTATTCAGAGGCAATCGCATTCTCCCTTCTTACCTTGCTAGTTGTAGCCTCTTATTCCTGACCCTGCCACACTTGCAATGCCATGCTGTGAAACAAAGTTCAAAGGTCCTTTTTGTTTGGTTGTTTTTTACCTCGCATTCCTTCCCTTTCCCTTGCATTCCTGCTCAGTGCAGCCCAAGCAGCTCTTTTCCCCCCATGTGGAACATGAGGTACATTCCCCAGGCCTCTTACTGAAATCTTTACCTCCCTGAAACATGACCTTGGGCTGGATCTCACCCCTCATGCAGGTGCTCAGCACAGAACAAAGTTCAAGTCCGTTCAAGAGCTATTTCAGGGGCTTAAGGGGCCATGAGATAGGGTACAATTTTAACATTCATCCTCTGCGCAGGATAAATTTGATGTTAATTGTAGGGAAACTGCTGTGGCAGATAGTCTTTCTAGCTATGAGTGATCTCGTGTGCTTATTCCTTTGCAATAGCAGCTATGTGACTTCTTCATTTATACAATCAACCTGAAACTGTCTTGATGAAATAAGGTTTGTAATTGCTGCTATCGCAAAAATCGTAATGGGAAAAGTGGTTGCAGTATATCTCCAGAATGCTGTCTCCAACTCCTATATACTTTGCTGAACATTGCAGATAGCTTCTCCAGTGATAAAGAAGTGGAGCTCATGTGAACACAAAAGATTTGAATAATCTCTTTCACCTGTCCAGCAACACAGAATTTTTCCTTGCCTTTCATTTGCTTGTGCTTTGCCCAGGCTAGTCGTGACTGACAAAACTTCAGCTGTTTGGGCAAGTGTATCACAAGCCACTGCACCTCAGTCTTAGGAAATTTATCTTGCTGTTCAAAACAATTCCTCACACTCCCTGACTTTTACTCCTATGGGTATTTGTAGGCTGTTATGTCTGCCTTTACTTGTTGTTTAACCTAGCAATAAGCATTTAGCTCTGTCCTCATAAATCATTTCCCCTCAGCTCTTTAGCTGCCTGTGCTCCTAAATATGAAAAACCCAGGCTAAGCCTACCCTTTCAGTGACTACTCCCCACAGGATTTTATTGGTGGCACAAAATCATTGCTCAAGCCATGATTTCACTCCTGGCTTATTGCATGATCCTTTGCTGATTATACTGACCTAAGGATCTATATCAGCAGTTCTCTGGGTTTCTTTCCCATGCCCTCCCACATTCTGTTAAGACTCATTCCACCTCTTCCCCCAACATCAAAACCACTAATTCAGGCTCCCTACCCCTTCTCCCCAAAAGCACATCTTCTGGGAGTAGCGGAGGCTGCAGGGAGCGTCCCTGCTACCTCTGTTCCCACTTACTTTGTCCCTCACTCTTTGCTGAAGGAATTCTCTGCAGCCAGAACCTGGTTCCCAGGACCAGCGGGAAGGTGGGCTTCCACAGCACATCTCCCGGGATTGGTGTCTGGTGGGTGCAGCTCCTTGGAGCAGGGTAAGGAAGAGTAAGTGGCTGGATTTAAACCTCCTCTGCCCAGATCCGTGGCAGGAGCTGGTGGGCAGGTTGCTGGGTCAGGGAGCTTACCAGCTAGCGGGGAGAGCATGGGAAATTCTTGCATTTTTGCCCCTCTTGTGGGCAGCTGTCTGCAGTTTCAGAGCGGCTTGCCTGGACTTAATGCATACAAATTTCAGGAGCTCTGTGGTGAGGCCAGAATGTGCTGTTG